CCTCACTCAAAGCGTCTATGTGTCCGGCACTATCCAACATCACTCAACTCGGGTTCAGTATGTAGTTATCCCCACTCAGCGCGTATAGTCTAGATATGTGTCTGGCAAACTCAAAAACCAATCCATCTGTGAAGTTTCAGTATGCTTTCCTCACTCAACACGTCTAGTTGTCCGGCAATCTCCAATACAAATCACCTGTGAGGTTTCAGTTTGTGTCTTTCCTCACTCAAAATGTCCATGTGTCCGGCACTATCCAATATCACTCAACTCGCAAGGTTTCAGTATGTAGCTATCCCAACGCAGCGCGTCTATATGCCTGGCAAACTCAAAAACCATTCCATCTGTGAGGTTTCAGTATGTAGCTATCCTCACTCAACACGTATATGTGCACGGCAATCTCCGATGCAAATCACCTGTGAGATTTCAGTATGTGTCTTTCCTCACTCAAAGCGTCTATGTGTCCGGCACTATCCAACATCACTCAACTCGTGAGGTTTCAGTATGTAGCTATCCCCACGCAGAGCGTTAATGTGTCTGGCAACTCAAAAACCAATCCATCTGTGAGGTTTCAGTATGTAGTAGCTATCTTCACTCAACGCGTCTAGTTGTCCGGCAATCTCCAATACAAATCACCTGTGAGGTTTCAGTATGTGTCTTCCCCTCACTCAAAGCGTCTATGTGTCCGGCACTATCCAACATCACTCAACTCGTGAGGTTTCAGTATGTAGCTATCCCCACGCAGCGCGTCCATGTGTCTGGCAAACTCAAAAACCATGCATCTGAGAGGATTCAGTATGCAGCTATCCGCACTCAACACGTCTACGTGTCCGGCAATCTCCATCACAAATCACCTGTGAGGTTCAGTATGTGCATATCCTCATTCAACGCGTCTGTGTGTCCGGCACTCCAACATCACTCAACCCGTGGGTTTCAGTATGCAGCTATCCCCACTCAACCCGTCCATGTGTCTGGCAATCTGAAACCTCACTCAACCCTTGGGGTTTCAGTATACAGCTATAATCACTGAACACGTCATGTGTCCGGCAATCTCCTACATCACTCAACCCGTGAGGTTTCCGTCAGCTATCCTCACTCAACACATCCATGCGTCACGCGTCTTTGGTAGCGCATGCTATGGGGGCAATGTTTTACAGCGCTTTGCCAACAGCGCCAACCCACTTTAAGTCTAGCATGGGGGGGGATCGGCGAAAGGGGGTGAAGGGTGGAACGAGAAGTATTGCTGCCGGTCCCTCTTTTTTACGAGCGGGCCTGTTTGCCTTCTGCTTGTCTTGAAAACAGCTGGCTTTGGCCGAAAGTCTGCGGAGTGCGTGATTCACGATTCCCTACGTGCACCTGGCGGACACCACAAGACACCCGTGATGGACACGCCGGGGAATTTTTTCCTCCCATAATGTACAGCGCAAATGAGCAAATGAGCCACCTCATTCCTATGCTTTGCTAGACGAGGAGTCAGCACATCACAAAAAACGTTCTTATGGCTTCAAAACAACGCCGTGTGATCTACGGCGGAACACGTCTATTGTTCATTCATTCCATGAAATGTTCCAGCGATCGAAGCTGCCGCTGGGAAACAGGTGCCGCATCAACTATGGTACAAAATACAGACACAAGCTGCCGACGGCAGTTTTTTGAAGCACAACCATTGCACCCGTTCACCCGTAAAACCAACATGTTCAGTCAAGGGTGCCTACAATCCAACCGAAACATTGTGCTTTCCTCCGACTACCGGACTCCTTACTATGTTATAACCGCCCCCGCCCCCTCCCTCTACACTTGAGGTGTGCGGAGCCCGCCCCCCCCCGCCCCCCCTGGAGGCATCAATACAAACGCGTACCATGCAGTAGCATATCCTGCAAGGATACGCATAGGGGGGAAAGCGGGAGAGACAAGGACAAGGCTATTTCATGGGGAGGAGCCCGCGCACCGTCAGAGGCGGCTAATGACGCCGTGCGCCTTCCCTTCCACCTCCGCCTGCTGGGAGTAGGCGAGCTTGACGGGAACCTCCAGCTTGGCGGGTGTGTGGGCGTCGGCATACCCGGGGATCACCTGTTGGTGGTTTTTAGTTAGGGTTTGTTGCACGACCAACAACACCGACAGAGAAGACACGAGAAAGAGAGATCGTGCTTATGTCTCCAACGGGTAGTCTTTCTTTGAATGTACCACGTTTACTTGCGAAACAAAAAAGAGACCCGAAAGCAAACATGTTGTGTGACGGATGGGTGGGTATCGTTTCGACGAACTTGTTTTGCGTAAATGTTTGACCGAGGTGTTTGGCCGGCATACATTTCTAACTTCCTCAGAAACACCGGCATTTAGGGGAATACGGGTGGTGCATATCTTGGCTCTGAGGGTAGCTCTCGATCACTGCATCAATACATGGTACAGAATGTGAAGTTAGTCACAAAGTACATTCGCGCCTAGGCTGCTGCGATGATGCGGCCACCACGACCCTCCTTATTTATCTCAGTTCGCACGTTTGCGCAGACACAACGAACAAACCCGGATAAGGGAGACAAAGCAAAGCGCACGGGGGGGTGGGGTGTACTTATGGTCGTGCATGCCGTAGTCGTTTGACCTCGCATCCCTACAAAATCAGGACGGAGCACGCCGGGTTCTCACCGGACCAGGCTCTCACATCAACAAGCGGGAAGCGCCGTGAGGTATTCGGCGAGTCGCATGAAGGGTGCGCTGCATCCTGCTGAGGGTGTACGGTATCTTGTGCTTACGTCCTTGCGTACGGATGACAGCTGCGTATAACTCACTTATTTTCTGGTACTTTCACTTCCAAAGAAAGTTGAAAGCACTTTGTAACGGCCTCGAGAGTGCTTGACCAATTCAATACAACGTGATGCGATCATCCCCTTTGCGCGGAGTGAGGGTTCTCGACCCCGCACAACATAATCTACTCGACCACCATTCACGGTTACAGCAAAAAAAAAGCCAAGAAAAAGCAGTAACCTGATTGCCGAGGTCACGAAGAGGGGGGGGGGGGTACTCATAGTCGTGCATGCCGTAGTCGTTAGACCATTGACCTCGCATCCCTACAAAGCCGGGACGGAGCACGCCGGGTTCTCACCGGACCAGGCTCTCACATCACCAAGCGCGAAGCGCCGTGAGATATTCGGCGAGTCGCATGAAAGGTGCGCTGCATCCTGCTAAGGGTGTTCGGCATTTTGTGCTTACTTCCTTGTGTACGGACGACAGCTGCATATGACTTAATTTATTTTCTGGTACTTTCACTCCCTGAGACAGTTCTAAGCACTGTGTAACTGCCTCGAGGGTGCTTGACCATTTTAACACAACGTGGTGCGATCATCCCCCTTGCGCGGAGCGAGGGTTCTCGACCCCGCACAACATGATCTACTCGGCCACCATTATGGTTACCGCCAAAAAAAAAACCGGAGGTAAAAAAAAAAAACGGTAACCTGGTTGCCGAGTTCACGAAGTGAATTGGCTTGTTTTACAACGTCGTTGCCAAGCGACGAAAACCCAATCCCGATGGCAAACACCGGGGGGGGCGGCTTGTTTTACAACGTCGTTGCCAAGCGACGAAAACCCAATCCCGATGGCAAACACCGGGGGGGGCGGCTTGTTTTACAACGTCGTTGCCAAGCGACGAAAACCCAATCCCGATGGCAAACACCGGGGGGGGCGGCTTGTTTTACAACGTCGTTGCCAAGCGACGAAAACCCAATCCCGATGGCAAACACCGGGGGGGGCGGCTTGTTTTACAACGTCGTTGCCAAGCGACGAAAACCCAATCCCGATGGCAAACACCGGGGGGGGCGGCTTGTTTTACAACGTCGTTGCCAAGCGACGAAAACCCAATCCCGATGGCAAACACCGGGGGGGGCGGCTTGTTTTACAACGTCGTTGCCAAGCGACGAAAACCCAATCCCGATGGCAAACACCGGGGGGGGCGGCTTGTTTTACAACGTCGTTGCCAAGCGACGAAAACCCAATCCCGATGGCAAACACCGGGGGGGGCGGCTTGTTTTACAACGTCGTTGCCAAGCGACGAAAACCCAATCCCGATGGCAAACACCGGGGGGGGCGGCTTGTTTTACAACGTCGTTGCCAAGCGACGAAAACCCAATCCCGATGGCAAACACCGGGGGGGGCGGCTTGTTTTACAACGTCGTTGCCAAGCGACGAAAACCCAATCCCGATGGCAAACACCGGGGGGGGCGGCTTGTTTTACAACGTCGTTGCCAAGCGACGAAAACCCAACCCCGATGGACTGGGGGGGGAGGGGGGGACGCATATTTGTACATCCAATGATGGGATGCGGAAGAGCAGGGTGATTTGCTCGCGCAAGTTTCATACTTATTACTCTCAACACACCTCCGATCGATGGATTATTGTCTGCGTGGCCCCGGACTGAGCCGTTCAGTAACAGAGAGAGGGCCAAGGCCGCACGGAAAGTGGATGGCGCGGGCGACATTTGACGATCGGCAAAGAGAAAAAAATTGCAGTCAGAGGCGTGCGCGCACTAACCTGAGAGCCACGCTTGTCGTCCTTTGCCTTGCTGATCTCCACCGCCTTGGCTACTTCCGCCTCGATCTGCACGATGGTACAGCGAAACCACAGACCACAAGAGGGGGGAGGAGTGGCGGCACCGTCAGGCACACCAGCGCGCATCTTCTACGGGGGCTTTAATGATAGGCTCCCCTGCACTAGAGTGACTGCGGTGGACGAGACGCTTCGTGACGAGCAAACGCAGACGAGAACGACAACACCAACGGCAACATGAGCGACTAAAACCCTCACCGCGATGAGCTTCTCCATGAGGTCGACGAAACCCCTCTCCTCTTCCCCGAACTCCGACATGAGCAAGCTCTTCTGCAGCTCCCACCCGCCGTCATCCCCTCCCACGGAAGACCAGGCAGGTTGTTGCTGCTGCTGCTCTAGCGTCAGGAGCCGGGCCGTCTCGAGGGCGTTCCCCACCGGGGGAGGCATTCGACCCACCCCGCCGCCGTCGTTGCCGTCCCCGTTGCCCCACGTGGGTTTGGCGGGCCCCTCGAGGAGGAAGCGGTCCGTTCCGGATGGCTCTTCGAGGCGAGAGAGGAGGCCTCTGAGGGCGTATCTGTGGACGGTCGAGTTTTTGTGCGTCCCGCAGACAACGAGACGATGGCACGTTGCGTGAGCATCAAGACTTGCGAGACAAAATGCCCGGGAAAAAAACATCCCTTCCGTTACACAGGTCGGGTCTTCAGCGCATCATGCCGCGCAAAGTGAGTTGGGCCGGGGGACGGGGTCCGCGATGCTGCATGAGGGACCCTACAACGTCTGGTACGGGACCAACATCCATGAATGCCCCTGACACGATTTGTAGGTGCGTGTGTCGATTTGTTGAGATCGATGGTTTTACGCAATATATCGAAAGAGCAGCGTGCGACGCGAAAGGTGCCACACCATCTTCTGTATGCGGGTCAGACTCTGGAACACATGAACGATGCCAGTTGTAAAAAAATAAATGCTCGGTCGCCGACGAGTCAGCATCCACGGCCCTCAAGATTTATGAGCGTCGTCAGAGAGTAGATCGCGTTTCATGTCATTGTAGCAAATCCGATCAGACTGGATGTCTTGACGGCGCAAGGAGGTCAGTCACTCCCTTCTTTCGCTTCGAAAACTACTGGAATAGGCGGAGAGGTGGCACCCCCTCAAGACCGACTCTCGAGACTCGATTGTTCCACAAACAAGCGGGTGCGGAAAGAGCCCGATACGTGAACGAAATTTTCCCTCGACCAGATGTTTCCAAAACCGCCACTTTTGGTGCTGGCGCGATCTTGGTAGTGAAGCAATCGAGCTTTGAAAATCGGTCTAGGAAGGGTGCCACCTCTCCGTCTCTGACTCAAGTTAGCTGTCGCTTGTTCTCTCGTAAGTACTGAGAGTTTGCCCAGGACTCGGTCGTTGCAGCAGCCTTGTGTCTGCAGCTCCCGCCGCAGCCCCCGCCGCGGCTTCTTCGCCCCCCGCGAGCCAGCCCCCGCCCCGCCCAGCCGGATCGGAACTCGGTCGTGCTCGTGGACGCGGCCACGTCCATCGACGCCCTGCCCTGCTTCGCTCCGGGTGCATTGCTCGCGGGAGCAGGGTCCTCGATCTACCTGGACAGGGTCATGTTGTAGTCCCCCACTCAAACCAAACGCTGCTCGATTTCCTGGAGCCTGGCCCTCGCTCGGATGGGTGGCCACCAAGGTTCGTCCCCTCCGCCCGGCGGGCGCGGACTTGTGCCCTGCGGTACAGGAAGTTCATAGAAGCAAGGCAAATACACCACGTATGGATACCTCGACGGCCTTGAGGGCGCCTGAGGCAAAGCGGATGTCGGTGCTACACGTTTTAGATATCCTCTCAAGTATCGCAACGTTCTCGCTGATACTTGAGGAGATCAAAAACGTGTAGCACCAAGGATCCGCTTTGCCTCCAGCTCCCCGAAAGCCCGAGACGTACCAGCAAGTGGTGTATGCCTTGTCCTCACCACCTCCCGGCACCGCAGGTCAAAGAGTCCGCAGGTCAGAGACGGCGGCCGACCCAGTGGAGGTGCGGCACCTCCCGTGACGAACGTCAGGGAGCTGGTGCGCTTCGCCAACGATGGTGGCGGAAAGCAGACCCCCTCAGCTGATACATACCATGGTAGGAAACAGTCTAATGAGTGTTGTACAGCACATGCCGTACACGGATGCTCTGCATGAGCGAGCAGGAATGTCTACGTGTGTAATCGTCTTTCCCCGCGTGCCGGGAAGACAACCTTGTCCACCGAAATTTCTGCGGGTCGTTGCGGCACGCAACGGCTCCCTCGCGCGTTGCCCGCCTCCTGGCATCCCACAGCGAATGCCGGTCGAGGTTGATACGACCAAGCACGTTCTGCTCAGGTGCTGGTGGTCATACGAGCCAAGTCTGAAACGGCCGGGTGGACGACGAGTTCGACTCGACGTCTCGGAGGGGGAGGGCGCCATGGTTGGGAAACAACGGCTACCTACCCCGGATGATGTTTTCGATTTTCTGTGCATTGTGGACACCTAGAGGAAAGGTACACGCCAAATCGTGCACAGGCGTGGTTACCGCGCAGAACGGTGCGCGACTGCCGAGCTTCGTAAAGCACCAACCGGTACGCGTACCGAGTCCTTGCGGAAAGGATTAGGGTTCGTCTGTCAGTTGAAGATGGCCATGCAAAAAGCATGGAAAATGCACTACCTGTACACGAATAGAAATGTTGCGAAATGATTAGGATTCGTCCGCGAGTTGAAGGCCATGAAAAGAGCATGGAAAATGCATGCCTGGTACAAGACTAGAAATGTCCTGCTGCTTTCCGGAAAAAATCACAGCAGTTAACCCGGCGAGTTACAGCCGCAAACGTCCACACAGGAGCAGACCAATATGTGCCTCCCATCGTGCGACGGACAACCGGACGCGACAATTCACAATTGACTGTTCGCAACACAAGCTACAATCGTCAGGCGCTCCAAACAACTCACAACGCGAGCGCGGAAGAAACATATGCCAACATTTTTTCAGCCAACACCCCTCACAACAGTAACAACCACACAGACACGTGCCATATACCCACCTGCGCAGGTGCAAGGTGTAGGTAGCGATACCCTCCAGTCTGGAGGCTTCGGTCATGTAGTTCTTGCCCAGCCCGGCCACACCGCGATCTCCGACGTAGATCTCCGTCTTGTTCAAGCCGGCCGCCACGAGCCTCGCCCGGGCGTCGGCCATGAGGCGCATCATGGACGGACGGAAAACCGGCCAGTCCACTCGGTTGCGCCTGCTTTGACGCGTTCCCGCGACAAAAAAGTATACATATTCACAGGGG